AGCCATTAACCACCTGTAGCTCTTCATCTAGGAAAGGGACCATGTAGAATTTCTCCTGTCTGCTTTAGTGAGTGCACTGGTATCATACTAGCCTTGTTCAGGCAACCGTATTGTTGAAAGTTCATGCATGCATTTTCTCTGTCATGTGTAACAAACAGTAACAACTGGCATTCTGCGTCTCTGGCTCTTACACTCGTTCCTCTCCTTCTTCCGTGATTTCCTTGAGCCTTACGTGTAGGGATTTCACTGCAAATGTATCAGTTGTGGTTAGTCACCTCACAGTCACTTATTCTATCCATTTTGGCCAGCTGTAGACGTCTTTGTCTCCATCTGTTGCAAAAAGAAGCTTTAATAAGAGGTGAGAGCTTCATTTATCTGTGGGTGTAAGGATAAGTATTTAGAATATTGTTCAGAACTATAAGAGAGAAAGGATTTTAAAGGCCTAACACTAATTATTCCTTGTCTTTCCAATGGATAGCCTGAAGATACTTAGGGAGTATCAGCCATTAGTCATCTTATTTATTAGCACAGAAAAAGTCACTTCACTTTAGAAACTGCAAAGATTTTAAGAGTTGTATGTTAAGAAATAGACAAAGACCAAATGCTTGTTGTCAACACAGCTTTCTGTGGGTATACAGAACATTAGTTTTCCTTTCTAGAAAACAGAGATGTATTATTAATGGGGCCTGGTGTGGTACATACTTTTAATCACAGCACTCTGGAATCAGAAGCAGACAGATCTCTTTGAGTTCAAGGCCAGCAAGGGCTATAGGGTAAGACTCTGTAAATAAATAAACAAATAAATAAATAAATGAAAGAGAAGAAGGGGAAAGTAAATTAATAAGTCTGGACTATTTTCAGTTATTTCTCCTAATGATTATGAGACTTATAAACATAGAACGTAATATTTGGTACACAGTAAGCTTTCAACAAAAGATTGTATTGACTCTTTAACTGGTGTATTTCATGTTATCTTCCACTGTCACAAAAAAATTTAGTGCACCTGTGATAAAATAAAAATCCTTCAGTATAATATCCAAAATAATTATCATGACATTTTAAATGGCTCCTTCCTCACATTAAGTGAAAGTAGGTCCTGTTTCCTTTTTTTGTTTGCTTTCTTGCCTGTACTTGTCCCAAGTATAGTAACTTTTTTCAGTGATATATCCATTTTCTTTTTCAATATTATTTGCCCTACTTAGAACACCTTTCTTCTTTTTGGGAAGCATATGGATTTTAAAGGGTTTTTGTTTTTAAGACAGTGTCTTGTGATAGCGCCTATACTGGCTTCCAACTTAAAATATTCCCCAATCTTCCACGTGTTGGCATTACAGACATACATCACCATGTGTGGCCTATGTCAATGCAAAATGCAGCTTTCACCTCGAAGGGGATAGTAGTTTATTCTTGAACTAAATATGAGGGACCATGACCCAGCAACATGATTTCAGCTGCCTCAAATAGTATATTCCACCATAGAAGTGTTTATGTGATACTTTATTATTTACAAAATAAAGTCATAAATCAAGGAATTTACCGAATACATGTGGTGAGGACTGCACAGAAGTGAATTTCATCAGAGTGGGGGAAACCGCTCTAAGTGTCAGATGCTATCAAATGACATTCTTAACTTTGGATTGGTGGAAGCTTGGTAGGCTAAGAATACATTCTGTAATTTTTTCTGACAAAAGGATGTTAGGTCAGACACAGGTGGACAATGAATGCCTATGATGGACACCAAAAGTAGGCAGACATAATTTGGCTGTAGGTCTACAGTATTTTAACTCTCTACAATCAGGAAATTCTAATTAGTCATTCTGCCTTGCAGAATCTTTAACACTGGTGTGTCATGTGGTTGTAACCCTGTCCCATTCTATCAAGAGCTTGTTTACATGTAGTTCTATCAATTTAGTCTTGGTTCCAGCTGCAGAACTTGTCATCTTTGAGAACCCTTCCAAGACTTCTGACCCTGAATTGTTTAGCATAAATCCCATACTTCCCCCATCCTCATACTACATATTCTGTTGTAGTTGTCTATTACCTCATCTGTTTTCCCCCACCCAGTGCTTTGCAAATGTTTGATATTGAAAGTTCAAGGAATTTGGAGATGTAGCTATGTATTTATCTGCAGGAACATTAAAAGTCCTCAAGACAGTGTCCTTCTGTTACCACTTTGCACAATATAGGCACTTTCCTCCTTCAAAATATGTGCTCATGTTAGCAAAAATATTTTGAAATGTCATTTGGCCTGTGAAGATCCCAAAACAGAGTACCAAGCAGAATAGTTGTAAACAATTTTAGTTTATTAAATTACTAAAATAATTTAAAGTAGCTTTTAAAGTTATTTCCATGTGGTCCTTTATTCAGTTAATTATTCTTCCTTACTCTTAAAAACCAGTATAATGCTGAATTACATGCGTGTGTCTGGCTCATTTGTCAGGGCAAAATGAGTGCCAATGGCAGGTGGTCCTGGTTTCAAAGTTTAATCCTAACTGCCCCCTTCTTCCAGGGATTTTGTCTGTGTTTAGTTTGTTCTGTGGTTTGAGGAACAGTGTAGCCCACAATGGCCTCAAATTCCTGGTTCTCCCACCTTAGCTTTTCAAGTGCAGAGATTGTATGTGTATACTACTGCACTCAGTTTAGAATCTTTTGTGAAGGGGAGGGTGGCTTCTATTTGCTGGGTGCGTTGTTTTGAGACAGAACTCGCACTGTGTGTTGGCCAGGCTCGTTTGAAATTCTTGAACTCAGAGGGTCCACACTGTCTTAACTCCTGATTTAGATGCTACTAACATGTCCAACAATAGAACCTATTCATTTTTCCCACGCTAAACTGCATCCAGTTTCATGAACAATCATGTTATTTCAGACAGGACATGGGCAAACAATCATTAACAATATACAAGATCTTCTAAATTCCCTTCTTGTATGGACTACCAAGATCAGAAATCCAATGAACTGTTCATACTTTGAACAGGGAAAGGAGTTGTTTAATCTTTTACAAGCTGACTCTGACTTGCAGGAAATGAAATGAAAATAACAGAATGACCAGTCTGAAGATCCATAGTCTTCTAGAAAATGAACCACTGCTCTTTTGAGGAAAACCATCTCAGTGATGTCACTGGAAAGTCTGGATTCCCAACACACTGGCAAAACCAGTTTTAGGGGTCCAAGTCCCAACAGGTCTCTGTTTTTAGGGAGTTAAATCTATACTTGTTGTAGAGGGAGAGGAGGATATAAAAGTGTTGAGTTTTGTGGTGTGCACAAGGCATTTTGTGCCTAGGTGGTCACACCCATCAACATCAGAAAGTCCCTCCTAGGAACAAAGGACTCTTCCTAAATTAGCAGGGAAAGGTTGGGAGAGATGTTAGTGACACATGCCTCCCCTCCCCCAGAAAAAAACAATATAAAGCATTCTGTGTGATAACAACTTCAAAAAACCCTACAATTTTATAAACCTTGATTTTTAAAAACGTATTTCAAACAGTAACCAGAACTACAGAGTAATTAAAAATTAACACATTTTAAGCCAGGCAGTGGTGGTGCACATCTTTAATTCCAGCACTCAGGAGGCAAAGGCAAGTGGATCTTTATGAGTTGGAGGCCAGCCTGTATTACAAAGTAAGTTCCAGGACAGGCAGGGCTGTGACACAGAGAAACCCAGGGAGGGGGGTGGAAGTGAACACATTTCCCTTGGCATCTTCAGCTGTCTGTGCCTGGTATGTTTTGGCATCTGTGTTGTCTGCAGGACTGTTTCCATGCTTGCCAGTATCAGCTTTTCCTTTTGAGTGCCTTCTCCCCTTCTTTGCAGAGACCATTTTACCCTGGGTTCTGGCTTTGGAGGAACCAGGTTTTGTATTTCTTTTCAAGGCTCAGTTCAGTCTCTAGTACCAAAGGCGGGCAGGGGTGTGAGGGTGGGGGTGTCTTTTCTTTCTTTCTTTTTTTTTAAAAGACAGACTTGGTGACAAGTGTCTTTAATCCCACTCAGGAGGCAGAGAGAGATCTCTGTGAGTTCCAGAACAGCCAGGGCTACACAGTAAAACCCTGTCTAAAGAGAAAGAAAAATAGGGGCCTATAAGAAGTCTCAGCAGGTTAGAATACTTGCTGCATATTGCTCTGAGTTCTATCTTAGAACACATAAGATGGAAATAAAAATCTGACCCCTGCATATCTCCCTCTGCCTTGACATGTACACACATACACACACACAATAAACAAATAAACATAAAAAATAGTTTTAAGAACAAGAAGAAAATAAAATTTATCTTCATACTTTTTAAATGTTACCATATGTGGAATATTATCAGACTGTCTAATGTGAAATCCTATTTATCTTCAAGCTTAGAATTAAGCCACATACTCATTTCCCTCAATCACTTTGCAGTACACTATAAAGATAGGAGACATGTTTCTTGCTAACATGTTTTTTCTTCTTTTCAGTGTCCTCTCCATCATGTTTTTGAAAGTTTTATTTTTTATTTAGTTTTTATTTTAATTACATGTTTGTGTGTATGTCTCTGTGTAGATGTGTTTGCATGTGCCCAGGAAAGCATTGGACCCCCTGGAGCTGGGACAGGTAGTTGTGATCTGCCCAGTATGGGTGCTGAGAGCTGAACTCAGGTCCTTGGGAAGAGCAGTACATGCTCTTAACCACTGAACCATCTCTTCAGCCTTATATTCCATCATCTTACATTATATGTTATAGAGCTAGCAATTCTAATATTAGCCTATATAAAACTATATTTATAAAGGGAAATCTTTCTGAATAGTCACACTGATCATTTCATTATTAAATATGACTGAGTGTTTAGTATTTCTGGGTCTCTGCCCTTTCCATTATGTTCAATAACTAGGAAATAACTTTACTAATTGTTTCCCAATGATGATTGAATTTCTTTACAATAAACAGCTTGACTGTTTTCTGTTTGTTTTTTTTTTTTTTTGTTGGATCAGTTTTCTGGTGTATTGTTATTCATGTTTGCATATTTAAATGTGTTTTACAGGAGGATTTGTTGGTTTTGAGGAAGACAGTGAAATCTTTTTTGGCTGTTTGCCAACAGTGCCTATCTAATGTTAATACTCCAGTTAAGGAACAGGTAAGGAATTATTAGTTAATATTGTTCTATACTGACTATGATTAACAACCCAAATGTATTGATGAACACTTAGAAGATACAATGTTTCAAATTTTAGTACATATGTCTATCCATAACATATACAACCTAGAGTATAGATGTATGGATATTTTAAGTTATAAACCAGGCTGTATCTTCTATTCTTGTACTTTGACAAGTATATTCCTGTCAACTGGAGACTTAAGTTCAGATTTGGAGTTCTTGATTCCTACAAATTCTATGCTAAAATATTGAGGGTCTGGTGAGCTGACATCATAACTTGGGTTGACTTCTCACCTTCAGCTCCTGATACCCGAAAGAGCTTCATATGTATACATATGTATCTAGCTTCTTCATATGTATACATATGAATATGTCAGCCCATGTGTCTAAAGTATGACCATACCATAATCCTCTACGTAGCTACCTCTTGACCACCATGAAGCCAAGTACACATGTTGACATAGTGTAGCTATGCAAAAAAGCCTTTTACAGGCTTTGATGAGATAATCAGCTCCTTCTGGGCAGTAAACTCCTGAGTCTGTGTACTTGGAGTCTAGAAGTCAGCATTCAGATGACACGATCCCTTATATTCAACAGATCCTCCTTAAGGAGGGATACTGCATAAAGATGGTCAGAATGTGACCCAAGAAATTGAAGGGTTTTCCATTATAAAAACTTACAAATTATTTAATATACTTTGTACTAAGGAATTCTTTTATGTAAAACAAAATGTATAACTTTTTTGTTATTTTTTAATTGGGCTACAAAATAAGTCAAATTAAAAGATCTTCATCCTTCACAGTCTTTTCTTAACATAAACTGCCACAAATCTCTTCTTCCCAGGGTGTACATGATCTTCCCTAAGTCTTATTCTCTAACTCTCCAGAACCCACCATTGCTGCCTAAAATACCTTGCTATGGCCTGTTTAACCAAAATTTGATGTTTCTGCTCTGGTGTGTTTTATATCCAAAATATCCTGGGTTAAAAAGTATTCTCCCCTTGGGAGAGGCAGAGACAGGCTGATATCTGAGTTCAAGGCCAGCCTAGTCTACAGAGCAAGTTCCAGGACAGGCTCCCAAGCTACACAGAGAAGCCCTGCCTCTAAAAAAATAAAATAAAATAATTCTAGATTCTCTTGAAAGTTTCTGCCTTTATAAATAGTATTTAAGTATCTTAATACTTTTAATACATGTCACAGCTGTACAGTCAGAGCATAAGTTTCCATTGTTCTTGCTGGAATCAGATAGCCAGGTATGTAACTGTCCCAAAATAAATGCCAAAGTTGTCATCTTTCCTTTTAAGTAAGCTTTTAGAAATTTGGCTTTAGTGAATTATTTGGAGATTTCTGCACTCAGAATAATTTCACAAAATCAACTATTATAAAACTCATGGCACAGCTGGGCAGTAGTGGGGAACACCTTTAATCTCAGCACTTGGGAGGCAGAGGCAGAGGCAGGTGGATCTCTGAGTTCTAGGCCAACCTGGTATACAGAGAGAGTTCCAGGTCAGTCAAGGCTACACAGAGAAACCTCGCAAAAAAATAAAAAGACAGAAAGAAAACTCGTGGTACATTATTTTACTTCATCAATTAAAAAGTAAAAATTTTCCTATATAATATTTTGTCTTTACAGAAATTTATTGTGGGGCTTTCAGATACTTTGAAATTAATGGTTGAATCTAATTTTAATTGTATTTCGAAAATAGTTTATATTAGTTTTTTTAACTCTAAGTAGTAGCGTAGATTTTTAGTAATACATAATAATTTGTTGAATTGTAATTTATCAGATAGTATGCTAATTACCTGATTAAGCATTGTATAATAGAATTCTAATGTCATCTGTTAATAATCCTACATTACCAGAGTTGAACTTAACTTTTTTAAATTCAACCCAAAATATCTCAGTCTGCTGTTCTTTAGTAAATACATTCAACTTTAAAAAAAATAAAATTGGAAACTAATGTCTTCAATGTAACCACAGTTTAATGATAAAATTAATTTCATAGGTAGATAAATGTAAAAAGTTGGAACTTAAAAATTCTTATGTTTTTTTTTATTGTGGTATTGGTATTGAAATGTTGTAATTTAGTGTGTTTCCGATTTGGTTTGTAGATATTCCTATATTCATATACTAATAGATATTCCTAAATTCATGTACTATTTGGCTAATGAACTGACTCCCTTTGCATTGCAGGCTTTCATGCTGCTTTGTGATCTCTTAATGATTTTCAGCCACCAGTTAATGACCGGTGGCAGAGAGGGCCTTCAGCCTTTGGTGTTCAACCCAGACACTGGACTCCAGTCTGAACTCCTCAGTTTTGTGATGGATCACGTTTTCATTGATCAAGATGAGGAAAACCAAAGCATGGGTACTTATGGCTTTTGTCACCTTGTCAGCCTCAAAAGATAGCAGAGGTGCATGGGGTAAATCAATTCTAAAACTTAAGAGATGTTTCTGTTTTTAAAAAAAATTAAGCTGGGAGCTGGGCAGTGGTGGCATACACCTTTAAATCTCAGCACTCAGAAGCAGGAGGATCTCTCTGAATTCCAAGACAGTCTGGTCTACAGAGTGAGTTCCACGACAACCAGGGCTACACAGAGAAACCAGAAAACTGAAATAATAATAAGCTGAGCATGGTAGAAGAGCATGCCTATAATCCCTGCTAATTACAAATTCAGGACTGACTGAACTATATCATTCAAGTCCAACCTGGGCAACTTAGTGAGATCCTGTTACATAATTTTATATAAAAATGAAAGGAGAACTGCTGATGCAACCCAGTGGGTCAGTGTTTACCTAGCATACACTAGGCTATCAGTTCAAAACCCAGTGCTGTAGAGGAAAAACAAATCTAAGCCAAGCTTTATCACACACATCCTATTATCATTGTACTTGGGAGGAAGAGGCAAGAGGATCACTACAAGCTTGAAGAAATCCTTAACTACATAGCAAGTAACAGGCCAGAAAGCACTACATAAGCACTCTGCCTTTAATCTCAGCTCTCTGGAGGCAGAGGCAGTTTGACCTCTGTGTATGTTTGAGGCCAACCTGGGCTATATAGTAAAACCTTGTCCCCCAACTGCCTTTAAAAATTTTTAATATATTCATAATTTTTGAAATCAATAAGAATATACCAAATGATGTCTCCTTTCTTTAAAATTACCTAGCTATGGGCAGCGATGGTGCACGCCTTTAATCCCAGCACTCAGGAGGCAGAGCCAAGTGGATCTCTCAGAGTTCGAGGCCAGCCTGGTCTACAGAGCGAGATCCAGGAAAGGCGCAAGGCTACACAGAGAAACCCTGTCTTGAAAAAAAAAAAAAAAACTATATGGTGTCAATACTGAAAAATGATAGTCAAACTATATAGTTAAAATCATTCTGAGCCTGCAAACTGCTAACAAAAATTACAATGAATTATTAGTGGTTAATTGTAATTAAATGTTCATTTAAAATAGATTTTTGTTAAGTAGATTATTTAAGCTCTCCTAAAATAATAATAAAAGAAACATATATTAGCCCACACTTCTTAATACTTGTAGAATGTTCTATATTGGGCTAGGGGCATAGCTTATTGGTAAAAAACTTGTTTAGTGTATGCAAGGCCTCTGGGTTCAATATGTAGCACCACCAATATATATATATATTTTTTTAACAAAATATTTGAGAAATACTAAGACTATGGAACAGAGTATGTTTTGAGTATGTATTTATCTCAGGAGACAAGATATCCCCACTGATTTCAAACATCGCAAAACACTGTTTACAAAAAGAAAAGGAATATATATTAACTGTATCTGTGTGAAGAAAAAATACTAATCCCAAATACAAAATGGGCCAGGATATGAGAATGTCAATACACTCTATTATCTAGATCTTTAAGGGCAGCTTTCTCTAGGACTACAAATAGATAAAGCAGTGGGACCTAAGGCTCAAAATTTGAGGAAAAGACAGTATTTGTTATGCAAGTTTTTGATAGTTTTTACAAACATTTAAAAATTCATTTCACTGGGAAATGGAGATGGCTCATTGGTTAAGAGCACCTGCTGCTCTCCCAGAGGGGGCACCTGTACATATGTGGCATATAATCATATAGACACAAACATATACATATAATAAATAAGCATCATATATGTTTGTATATATGATTTCTAACCAATTATGTAATCAAATGTAGGAGAAGCACCAAAAATTAGCTATTACATTTCCATTTCTAAAAAAAACTTTTCATCCATACCTCAGAAAGTTCTTCTCTGGGTGAATATATTAGCAGCTAAGAATGAAGAAAATTGGGGTTGGAAAGATGTCTCAGTGGTTAAGAATGTGTATTGTTCTTGCAGAGGACATGAATTCAATTCCCAGCACCCACATCAGGTAGCTTACAACTGCTTGTAACTCCAGCTCCAGGGGATTGCCCTAACCTTAGGTACTGCACATATACAGACATACACACATGTACATATAAGTAAATAATAATAAAAATATTAAAAAAAAAAAAAAAGGACTGGAGAGATGGCTCAGAGGTTAAGAGCACTGATTGCTCTTCCAGAGTTTCTGAGATCAATTCCCAGCAACCACATGGTGGTTCATAACCACCTATAATGAGATCTGAGGCCCTCTTCTGACATGCAGGCATGTGTGCAGACAAAACACTGCATATATAATAAATAAATAAATAAATAAATAAATAAATAAATAAATAATCTTTTTTAAGAAAAAGAAATAGAAAAAGGCAGCTATAGTTGAAAGGTTCCTCTGGTCCTGCCTAGTCTGTGGTCCCATAGCCGCTTGGACCCAAGTAAACACACAGAGGCTTATATTATGTACAAACTGTAGGGCCTACTGGCTCAGGCTAGCTAGCTCTTAGAACTTAACCCATTTCTATTAATTTATAAGTTGCCACATGGCTGTAGCTTACCAGTACTTTCATATCTTGCTTCTCCTGGCGGCAGGCTCGCGTCTCTCCTCTCCTTTCTTCTCCCTGTATATCTACCTGGATTTCCCACCTGCCTCTAAGCTGCCTTGCCATAGGCCAGACAGCTTTATTTATCAACCAATCAGAGCAACACATATTCACAGCATACAGAAAGACATCCCACAGCAGGCAACATTTTATGATAAACACAACAGTGTATTATGATAAAAATATAGGAAAAAGCAATGTCTTTATCTATAGTTTCTTTAATCTTAGCACAGCTAGAATATAGGGATCTTAGTTCCTACTATTTATTCTGAAGTATTAAGCTTACTATTTTCACCCCATTAGAAACTAAATTGGCTAGGGTTGTAGCTCATTGGTAGAGCATTTGCCTAACATGTGCAAAGCCCAGAATTTGGTCCCCAGCCCAGCTGGCTAGAAAAATAAATAAATCAGAATTAATATTCAGCTAGTTTTCAGTTGTACAGATTCTCTGCATAAACAGACTAAGTTCATAACCACTTTATTTTCTGTGGCCAGAGGGTGATGAAGAAGATGAAGCTAATAAAATTGAAGCCTTACATAAAAGAAGGAATCTACTTGCTGCCTTCAGCAAACTTATCATTTATGATATTGTTGACATGCATGCAGCTGCAGACATCTTTAAACACTACATGAAGGTATTGTTTCATATTTTTCTCCTTCCTATGTAGTAGAGAAATAGGTAATTAAAATGAATGGATAACTGAATCTTAAGTCAATAGCTCTTACCGGTGTATTGTGGGTATAATTTTGTGATGAAGGTTCTCTTTGGTTAAATGTACTTAAGTTCTTTATCAGTCTTTAGTATTAATTATTCCATACAGTATGAGTTCCTAACACTTTTTGGCTTCTCTCTTTTCTATAAGCTCCTTTTCCTGATCCTGTAAAATCAATGCTCAGAACTATTAATGGGATGGCCAGACAGGCACAGAAAGGAGATAGCACTTCCCAGTGTATGTGCCTTGTTTTCAAGACACAGGGAGTGTTTTTTGCCCCTGTTCAGAATATTACTTGTGTCTTTTAGTTGTATCTTTCTCTATGTTTTTATATCACCGGATTCCAGTTTGGATGTATAGCTTGAGCAACTGTTATCCCAGTCCTAATTTGAATCTTCTTGTGCACTCCAGATCTGACTGACTTGTATGTGACTTAGTGGCTCCATATGTGCCTGTTGTGCATGAGAGACAAGCTCCATCACAGCACCACCAGAGAAAAATAGACCTTAAAATGACTTGAGACTTCAAAACAGTTTGGGATTTAGGTGTGCTCTATTAGTAAATAAATGAATTTATATCTATGTCTCTTACCCTCCACAAAAAAAAAAAAAATAACTCACAGTGAATCAAAAGCCTTAACTTGAAACCCAAATAATGAATCTGCTATATGAAAACATTTCAAGGGCTGGAGAGATGACTCAGGGGTTAAGAGCACTGGCTGCTCTTCCAGAGGTCCTGAGTTCAATTCCCAGCACCCACATGATGGCTCACAACCATCTATAATGAGATCTGCCTTCTTCTGGTGTACAGGCATACTATATACATGGTAAATAAATAAATCTTTTTTAAAAAAAGGAAGAAGAAAACATTTCAAGATCTAGGCACTGGTAAGAACTTTCTGAATAGGAATCAAGTAGAGGAAATTGCTCAAATTAGCAAGTGGGTAAGGACTTACTGTTAACAAGATTGTGCATAGCAGTCACCAGAGTGAAAAGAGCCTACAGAATTTTTAAAAAGCCTACTTATCAGATAAGGAATTATACCTACAGAACAGTAAATACCCAAAATCAAAACTGTCAATCAACAAATGGATCTGTGAAGTAAATAGATAGTTCTCAAAAGAAGAAACACCAATTAAAAATAAATATTTTTAAAAGTATTCAGCATACTTAACTATCTGGTAAATGTTAATCAAAACAACTGTGAGATTCCAGATCACCTTGATCAGAATGTGTTCATCAAGAAAACAAATGACACCGAATTCTTGCAAGGATGTGGAGAAAAGGGAACCCACACATATCATATTCACTGCTGATCAAGTATGAATGGTGCCTCCATTATGGAAATAAGTATGGAGGTTTTCCAAAAAGTTAAAAATAGAGCTACCATTTGACCCAACTATACCAACCATGGGCATATATCCAAGTACTCTCTATACTACCACAGAAATACTTGCTTATCCATGTTTCTTGCTGCTCTGTTCACAATTGCGAGGAAATGGAACCAGCCCAAGTGGCTATCAGCTAATGAATGAATAATGAAAAATGGCACATCTGTTCAGGCATGATGAAAAATGAAAATTTCAAGAAAATGGGTTGATCTCACAATTATATTGAGTGAGGTGTCCCTGGCTCAAATAAACAATGCTACCTGTTCTCTCATATGTTGATCCTTGCTTCTAAGTTTTGTATAAATGTGTATCTGATTGCAGGTATAGGTCATGAAACTAAAAGAGACCATCATGAGAGAATTGAGGGAAAGTATGCATCAAAATGCCATAATTCACATAATGAAACTTTGTACTTCGTATGCTAATTTAAAAAAGAGAGTGTCTGGTGTGGGGCTCATGTACTTTTGTATGTCTGTTTTTGTTTTTTTAGAGTAAGGTCTCACTACATAGCCCTGTCTAGACTAGAACTCAGAGATCTTTCTGCCTCTGCCTTCTGGTTGCTAACATTAAAATATGTGCTACCAGCCATATAGTGGTGGCGCACACCTTTAATTCCAGCATTTAGGAAACAGAAACAGATGGCACTTGGTGAGTTCAAGGCCAGCATGGTCTACAAATCAAGTTCCAGGACAACCAGGACTGTTACACGCAGAAACCCTGTCTCAAAAAAACCAAAAAGAAAAAATAAGTGAGGGGGGGGAGGTATATGCTACCATGCTTGCCCCTGCATACATTTAAGGTGAAGGATTATATAATTTTCCATCTAATCTTTGTTTCTTCTGGAAAATTAACTATATCACTCTATCCTCCAGTACTTGCCTAATGTTCTTCATTCTTAAAACACAGTTTTCATAATCTACAGATTTCTTAGGATTTATCTGGTCTGTGAAACCAGCTTGTCTGAAATAACGTGATAACTCCTGCTCTAATCCACTCCACTCATATTGGCTCAGATGCTAAACATTTGTGGTTATTCCCTGTGTGTGCGTGCATGTGTGGGTGAGTGTGTGCATGGCTCAGTGCATATGTGTACTGGGGCCTCACACACAAGTGGTCTACTGCTGAGCTGTATCACTAGCCCTCAATTTGTAACATTTTATAACGTTTTTATTTACTCCATGTTTGACCGTGTATATATGCGTGTGTTAGTTCGTGTGTGGCTCAGCATCTTTGTAGAAGTCAGAGGACAATTTGAAGGAGTCTGTTTTCTCCTTCCACCGTGTGGGTCCCAGGGCTTGGTGGCAGGTACCATTATCCAAGTGAGCCCTCTTTAGACCTTCAGTTTGACTCAGTCTCACTCTGTACCCCAAACTGGCCTGGGTAGAAACTCAACCACATATGCTGACTTTAAATGCCTGAGTAATCCTCCTGCCTCAGCCTAATGAATGATGGTGTTACAGGTGTAAACCACCATGCCCAATAATGGCTTTAGATAATGTGTCTTCCATCCTATTATGAATATTAAAGAGCTGAAACATAGGAGACAGTCAGGGGGATCATTGCGATGAGCTCAAGGCCACCCTAGTTAATATACCAAGCAAGTTTGTATCTCAAGATGAACAACAACAACAAAAATCATCAAACATATAAAAGAAGAATGAGAAAATGTTCTCCCTTATATGTATCACTCCCTGTCCTGGATTTTTTAGCTTTTTTATTAGTTATTTCATAATTTTAAATATCCAATCTTTAATGTAAACAATACCATTTAATTTTCATATTCTAGGTGAAGAAATAAAAACTATTATAGTAGTTTCTTTTTCTTTCTCCAGTGCATTCTTTTTTTTTTTTTTCTTTTTTTTTGAGACAGGGCTTCTCTCTATGGCCCTGGCTGTCCTGGAACTCACTCGGTAGACCAGGTTTGGCTTTGAACTAACAGATCTTGCCTGTCCCTGCCTCCCGAGTGCTGGGATTAAAGTTGTGTACCACCACTCAGCTTCACCACTACAGCCTGTCATGGAATTTCTTAATTCTAAAGTATGTTTCCTTTTTATCTCACAGTATTACAATGACTATGGTGATATCATTAAGGAAACCCTGAGTAAGACCAGGCAGATTGATAAAATTCAGTGTGCTAAGACCCTAATTCTCAGTTTGCAGCAGGTAAGAAATTTGGAGGGGAGGGTAGATAAAACTTCTCTGTGCTTATTATGTGCTACATGTCTTATTTAATTTTTAATACATAGTGTGCTTTGTATCTTAAATAGATGAAATGCTAAGGTGACTGACTCTTGGGCCAAAGGAAGTGTCATATTGGAAAATTTAAGAAATAATTTGCTGACCTGAGTTTCAGGTCAGCCGGGTGTACATAGCAAGCCCTAGGCTACTCAGGGATACAAAAGACCCTGTCTCATAATAATAATAATAGCTTTTAAAATTAAAAGTAATTATAAAAAGTATTAATTTGCTGAGCATGGCGGCATGTGCCTTTAATCCCAGCTCTTGAGAAGCAGAGGAAGGCATATATGCCTAAGTCTGAGGCCAGCCCAGTCTATATACAGTGAGATCCTGTCTCACTGTAAATATACTGTACATATTTGCATAAGGAAGATTCCCAATATAGGAATTTCTAGAAATAGTCTAAATGTTCATCAGTAGAGGAACAGTTAAATAAGCTGATACTTTGAAGTAGTTAATTTTGTTTCTCTTTTTATTTAGTTTTTAAGACAGTATCTCACTGTGTTGTCTAGATTGGGCTAAGGGATCCTCCTGCCTCACACTCCCAAGTAGTTGAAACTGGGTGCACATACCACTGTACACATTGAAAATTTTTGCAACTTAAGGAAACAAAGCAAATTTCAAGATAAAATAAGTATGGTACTACTTATTTAAAATCAGAACTGTATGTATAGATAATATGAATAAACTGACCTGGAAATGCTCAGATTTTTAGAATTTAAGGCTTTTATATGTCACTGTCTATAAAAAATTATAAAGTTTATGAATTTATAAATAATTAGCTACATTTATTTGAAAACCTGTGGAAGAACCATTCCCACTAGTTACGGCATAGGAAGGTCAGGATGTGCTACTGAAGAAGACGTAGAGATGGACAGCACAGCTGAGACAGGAGTTCTCTCAGGTAGGTGGTGTGATGAGTGTGAAGGAGGAAACCAAGAGTTTACTGATGGTTCCCAGAGACTCAAAGTGAAGAAAACAAATGGAAACACATTTCAGGACCTACACCATTGAGAAACCAGACAAATGACTTGGTGGCTAGCAGAGGAAAGAGTATAAAGAACTCAGGCTTGTTTTTATTTATTCACTTATTTTGGTTTTGGTTTTTTTTGAGACAGGGTTTCTCCATGTACTTTTCATGCCTGTCCTGGATCTCACTTTGTAGACCAGGCTAGCATTGAACTCACAGAGATCCACCTGGCTCTGCCTCCCGAGTACTGGGATTAAAGGCGTGCACTGCCACCGCCCGGCATCAGGCTTGTTTTTTTAAGATGCGGTAGATAAAGCCTTATATTATTCCTCTATCAACTATGTCAGGAGGGATGGCTTTACACGTCTGGACGTTTAGTACCCCATAATCCAGGAGGTAGATTATACAAGCCCAGTTTAGTGTCTAGATTTGGTAATGGGATGATAAGTGCTTTAATATTATTACTGCTCTGAAGTTTTGCTTTCACTTTGATAGAATGTATGCCACATAGGTAATTTGTAAAATCACCAACTTTTGACTGTATTTTGTTGCTAAGTTGAAATTATTATATCCTCTCATATCCAACTATACATGAATATTTAACTGATACCCTGAACTGCAATATAAATGAAAAAAATGTTCTGAACCTTTTATATCATGTGTTTGTAGGTTTATACTGTACTTCTGAAAATATATCTTCTTTCTCTACTATTTTAAAGCACCTTATGCCCTTTGTACTTTGTATATTTTTAAATTATATTACCTATTCTAAAAGTAAATAAAATTTCAAATATTTCTTTGCTGTAAATTTTTCTCTTTTTTTTTTTTATTTTCACCAGTTATTCAATGAACTTGTTCAAGAACAAGGTCCTAATCTGGATAGGACCTCTGCCCACGTCAGTGGCATTAAAGAACTGGCACGTCGGTTTGCCCTTACATTTGGACTGGACCAGATCAAGACCCGAGAGGCAGTCGCCACCCTTCACAAGTGAGCGAAACACCTCCTGTTATTCAGAAGGTTTACTGGAATATAAATACACAGCTGTTATTTGACCCATTTTTAAAGTGACGAATACAGAATTTTCAAACTCCTTAAACTATTAATGTAACTGGGTAGCAATATTTTACTTTAAAAAAGATTTCTTAAACCACCTGTGGGAGTTTTACACCATCTTCTATAGTATAAAGAGCAAAGTTTAACAACCTATTCTTTGGTCTGTGTATTTCAAAAGATGCAATACTTTTTTAAAAGCCCCCTGGTGAGCATTGTACCTTCTAAACCAACTAGGGACCAAGTGTCCAAATAGCTGAGCATTTGGAGAATATTCTCACCCAAAACACTACAGACACACACTATCCCACACACACAAATTAACAGGAAACCTTAGTTTCAGAGAGCTGGTTGGTATCATGAGTAACTCCCAGAAACAGATTTCCTGCCATTCCAGTTTCTTTACAAGGTTTTGTATTACCTTTAAAAAAATACATTGGGATATAGCATTGTTTCTTTGTAGCTTTTTTTCTTACAACTTAGAGACTTGTACTGTAAACAATAAAGTATATACAAATATCTCATTAAATTAGCATTATTTTGCCATATGAATTTACCATACTTTGTTCAAACTTGAGTAATGATTTCACTATGTTTCCAAATATTTTTATAATTTTTGCCCTTTGAGACTACATTATCTGAAAAAAAATTAAAATGTTATTTTCTTTAAATTCAGGGATGGAATAGAGTTTGCCTTTAAATACCAGAATCAGAAAGGACAAGAATATCCACCTCCTAATCTGGCTTTTCTTGAAGTACTAAGTGAATTTTCTTCTAAACTTCTTCGACAGGACAAGAAGACTGTGTAAGTTGAACACACCAACAGAAGTGATTTTAAAATGGCACCGTTGAAACTTTATTTTTTTTTAATCATTACTATTGATAATTTAGGCTGTGGTAGTAATAAAGACCCAGTTTGACCTGGAAGCTGTAATGTGAAATTAAAGTAGATGAAAATTATTTTCTTATTCTATAGTTCAAGATGTGTGAACATTGACTGGTTACTTTATCGACCCCATCTGTACTTTTACATTAATTTGGTTTTACGTCAAGATTAACCTTGTCTGTGTGTGCTGCAGTCCATCATTGAAGAGCGTGAGGCAGGAAAGTCCCCAGACCACCTGGGCTGTGTCTCGAACCCTTTGCTCCACTGTCATGCCGGAAATAAGTGGCTTTTCTTGTGGTTTTGTTTAAAAACAGTAAAGAAGTTTATCTTTTTCAGAATACTGATGATGAGATGTTGTAGGTAGAACAAAGTACTAAACTTCTAATGGGAATGCTACTATAATAAATGCCAAAATTTTTAAATCAATAGGAAGATGAATTAGTTGTAATAACAAATTTGAGTAAGCTAATGTGAATTTGTCCATTTTTCCCCTAGGCTTTCAAATCTGTCATTGTATAGTCATTTGTTCTTTATTTCTATAGTAATATTTCCTCATGGTCTCTGATTTGAGTATGTGTTCTCTCCCCCTCTCTCCCTCCCTTTCTCCCTCCCTCCCTTCTTCATTATTAAAAATTTGTCAGTTTTATTTTTCCAAACACAACCAGCTCACAATTTCATTGATCTTTTGTAAGATTTTCAGTCTATTTCTATTTTGGCTTTTTGTTCACTTGCTTTATCGATTTTAGGATTTGGTTTTTTGAGACAGGGTCTTATATATTGCTACCCAGGTGGTTCTGAACTCACTAGCCCAGGTTAATCTGGTGATAATCATCCTGCCTCAGCCTCCTGAGTGTTAGGATTACAGATGTGTACTACCACATCTGTCTTCTACTCTAATCTTTATTATTTTTTTCCTGCCCTAATTTAAGTTTAGTTGGGTTCTTTCTTTCCAGCTTGCTGAGATGCCATAATAGCTTGAGCTCTAGCTGCTTTTGTGATGTAAATGTTGATTGCTATAAACTAAGTGCTGTGCCTATTGGATCCCTTAGTTTTAATTGAGTTGGGTTTCCCATTTCATTACTTCAACAACTCTTTTGAGCTGGAGATGTAGCTGAAGCTGCTTTTTCATAAGACCCAGATTTGATTCCTGACACCCACATGGTGCTGACAGCCTTCTGTAATTCCAGTACCAGGGATCTAGCACCCTCTCTGACATCCCCCAGCACTGTATGTATGTGGTGCATAGATATATAGGCAGTCAAAACACCCATAAATTTCAAAAAAAGATTTTAAGACTCTTGAGTTTCCTTTTTTGTGTTTTTGCTATGTTTGTTCAAGACTGGGTTATTAAATTTCTATATATTTGTTTCTGTAGTTTTTTTTAAATTATTTTCTGTTATTGTGGTCACGATAATATGATTACAGAAGCTTACTTTTAGTTTACTACTGCTTGTGCTGTACCCTATTATGAGATTTATACTGAAGAGTATTCTACTTACTGTTAAGAAAGAATATATTCTATTAAGGGTGGTGTTTGTTTGGTTTTTCACAGCTGGCATCAAACTCATAAAAATCTACCTTGCATACCTCTACCTCCTGAGTACTGGTATTAAAGGTGTGTACACCTGTACCAACTTATATACTACACTGTGAAGTAAAAAAGATCTATAAATATCTGTTAGGTTCATTTGTCTAGAGTACAATTTAATTCTCCATGATTGGGTTATATGTGGAGTATATCTTTCCCTTCAATTCAGTTTGGCATTTATTGTATGTATTTGGGCACTCAAGATTAGGTGAGTGAAAGTTAATTGTTATTTTCTTTGACTGGGCTGGGTGTCTACTTTGTCATTCAGAAATAGAGGTCTTGGATCCAGATAAAATTAGGTTTTGTTCAGGGCTAGAGATACAGAACTAGTTTCATTCTTGAGGAGGTAGGTACTCAGTTTTGCAAATACCAGTTGAACAGGCTGCCTTTTCCATGTGTGTTTTGCTCCTCTGCCAAAAATTAAAGAGCCTTACTTGTATGTTGTTTCTGGGTCCTCTACTGTGCCCTATTGGTCTACATTTTTAGGCCAGTACTATGCTGTCTTTGTCAGAATAGCCCTTTGGTATGCTAAGATATAGCATATTCTCTCAGCTTTTTGTTTTTGTTGTTGGTCCTTTGCATGCATAAGGTTTGCTGTGTCTGCTTTCCTATTTTCATCTGATCCTCTTTATGAAATGTATTCTTTCCTGTGTTCTCTTAGATAAAATGTTCTTCTTTCTCTGTGTATAATGTTCCTCTAAAACTGTTCTGGAGTTCTGGCTCTGGTAAGTTATGAATTACCTTAGCTTGGGCTTCTCAAGAAATAGTATTTCTCCATACTTTATTTTGTATGTGTCTACACATGCACATGTATGTATACACATACACACATGCCAAAGTGAATATGGAGGTTAGAGAGCAACCTGAAATAAATAGTTGGTACTCTTCTTTCAAAAAATAAGTCCTAGGGATTGAACTCAGATTATTGTGCATTTTTTAACCCACTGAATCATCCCACCTACTCTATCCATAAATTTTAAGTGATAATTTTGCTAGGTTTGGTGATCTTGGTTTATAGTTACTGCTTTTAGGGCTTGAAATGTATCATTTTGTGTGTTCCTGGCTTTTATGGTTACTGATGAAAGATCTGGTGGTATTCTGGTGTTTCTGTGTTTGTCAATCACTTTTTTTCACTTCCAATTTTAACATTGTTGCTTTGCTTTTTATATATTTTTTATGGTATGTCATGATTCTAGTCTGTCATAACTATTCAGAATTCTAAATGTTTCTTGCATTTGGATGCCTTTCTTTCTTAGGATGTTGGTAATTTTTGTTCAAGTTCCAATAAGTAGATTACATAAGTTTTTATATCTCAGCCCGTCCTTCTACCTCATGAGTTCCTGTGGTTGGTTTCTTGAATGTGTTTGTTTCACATTTCTTGGATAAATTTGGTCATGTTCATTAGGTGTTTTCCTCATATGTGTCTGCATGTATTACTGCTATGACCTTGTCCTCCATCTCTGAGATGTAGTCTTCTAGTGCAGGCTTGTCCTTGGTGATGGTTTTTGCTCTCTTCTGTGATTCTTTCTTACCTGAATTTCTGTTTAGGCAAAACAAGCAATAAATGAAGTAGAAGGTATTGTAGTTTCAGTGTTTCTTTCTGAATGGTGAGGTCCCACTTACTTTGTTTACCTTAGTTCTATCAATCAGCTGCAGTGAGTTCTGACAAAGCCCTGTAAACTGTGTGGCTTCTTGATGCTATGGCCAGGATGGGGGTGTCTAGGAATTCCCTCAGTTTCAGACTCCCTTCCTCCACTTGTGCTGTCTTCTCCACAGTCTGTGCTGCTTTGAGTTTGTTGCTCCCAACAGGGTATTCTGTGTTCCACCATGCTCCCAATTCTTTGCCCAGCTACTCTCCCAGCTTTATTTTAGACTCCTGTACTCCATTTCTGATTCTGAGTTCAGTGTCTTAATTTTTAGTTTCTGAAAACAGAAACTGCCTGTCCCCAACTCCATCAGCTGTCTAGTACCTAAGAGTCCTAGGGCACACTTCCTAGGAGGTACTTGTTGGCTTCTTAGGCAGAGAAGTCCCACCTGTGGTGGTAATCTAATTGTACTGAAATGTGATTTTGATTGTATGTTAATAAATAAAGTTGCCCGGGGGTCAGAGCTATTAGAGCCATAGCAAGAGTGTGGCGGTGGTGGCACACGCCTTTAATCCCATAGATCTCTGTGTGTTCAGGGATACAGCCAGCATTGGAGACATATACCTTTAAGACCTAAGGGGCTGTACATTCAGACAGTAATGAGGCAGTCACGTGTTTGGGTTTACAACCAATGAGAAGGCAGAACAACATACTATAAAAAGACAAACAGACAGAATATAGCTCTCTTTCGGGAAGCTGGGACACCGCAGGAGGAAGGGTGAGATTTGAGCTCTGAGCTCTGAGCTCTGACCTCTCAGCTTTCTCTTTTACATTGTTTCTGTATTTCTTATTTAATAAGATTGTTGGTTACATCAACACCCACCTCTTTTTTTTTTGGATCTCCTTTATTCCAAACTAGCCTCAAATTCCTTAGGATTGCCTTGACCCTTCTGATCCTCATGTCTTTTACCTCTTGAGTGTCAGTACCACAGGCCTGTGCTATCATGCCATTTATTCAGTGTTGGGGGTCAAGTCCAGAGCTTCATGCATGCTTAGGCACACACCTCATTTACCATTTGAACCCTGCGCCTTGTTTCAACTTTCTGTAGCTTTCTCAGACTTCTTTTATGGTAGGTCCCATTTACTTTCTATCATCTGAATTCCTTGTCTCACCGCCACTGCTGTTCATCCTTCATCTTCCTACTTCCCTTGATGTCCCTCTTTCATCTTTCCCTGTATTTCCTTCCCCCACCCCATAGTAATGTAGTTATGAGTTTTCATTGTTTTGGGTTTTTTAATTTTTTCAAGTATTTTGTACCTGGGCTGTGGTGGTACACACCTTTAATCCCAGCACTCGGGAGGCAGAGCCAGGCAGATCTCTGTGAGTTCAAGGCTAGCCTGATCTCAGAGCAAGATCCAGAACAGGCACCAAAGCTACACAGAGAAACCCTGTCTCCCTGTCTCAAAAAACAATACATACATACATACATACATACATACACACACACACACACACACACACACACACACACACATACATACATATTATATGCATGTTTTGCCAGCATGTATGTCTGTGCATATCATATATGTGCTTGGTGCCTGTAGAGGCCATAAGAGGGCATCAGATCCCTAGGAACCGTAGTTACAAGTGGTTGTGATCCACTATGTGTGTGCTGGGAATCAAACCTGGATCCTCTGGAAGAGCAGCCAGTACCCTTAACCACTGAGCCATTGCTTCAACCCTGTTTACAGTATTAGTACATAATTTTCTTCATTTTTTACATTTTTAAATAAAATATAATTACATCACTTCCCTTTCTTCCCTCTATCCCTTCTCATGTCCTTCCCTCTAACCTCTCCCTACCTCCCCTTCAAAATGGTAGCTTTTTTCTTTATTAATATTACATGTGTGTGTGCTGAGTCCCTTGTTGTTGCTATGTATATGATTTCAGGACTGACTACTTTGTACTGGATAACCAATTAAAGGGCTCATCCCTGAAAAAGGATAATTCTCCCTCTCAAGGCACTCTTTAGTTGCATTTAGTTCTTTGTCTATGAGTAGGACATCATGAAATGCTTTCCCTTCTGCTTAGCATGTCCATTGGTTTGTCACTGTTCAGATCTTATATATGCAGCCATTTCTAAGAGAGATAGACTCACAGCAAACTTCTTGCTATTCTGATTCTTACAATCTTTCTACTCCCTTGTCTGATAGGTTCCCTGAGCCATAGAAGCAAAAGCTGTGCTGCAGATCTCTCCACTGGGGTTGGGTTCCCCATAATCCATTATCTTTATGTTGTGTCGAATTGTGGTTTTCTGTAATGGTCTCCATTTGCTGTAAAGAGAAGCTTCTTTGGTGAGAGGTAATAGCTATACTTATCTGTGAGTATAAGGATGAGATTTAGAAGGTAGTTAAGGAATTATGCTGGTCTAGCAAAGTGGCAGTAGTAGATTGATTGTCTTTTAAATCCATGACTTCACTAACCCTGGGTAGTTGGCTGAGGTTCTAGTACCAGCATGATTTCGCTCCTGCTGAAAATGCCTTACATTCCTCAGACAGGTGTTGGTTACCATCAATATGTAAGTGCCACTGTAATTGGGGTTTTTTTGTTTGTTTTTTGCTGTTTGTGTTCTTAGTATTTGCTGTTTGTGTCTTTTGTATTTCATTAATGACAGCTTTATTTATTTTCTCTCTAGTCTCTTCATTGCTTATTCCTCTCTTTAGTTCAAAGTATTGCTTCCAGTATACCACTTAATGTTGCTTTATTGGATATTAATCAGAGAGTGTTTTTCTTTCTCCAACTATGACAGTTTTGCTGCGTGCATATAGTCGTCTAGGTTGGCAGTCTTTTAGACCTTGGACTGTGTTTCTCCATCCTCTTGTGACTTTTAGAATTTCCATTGAGAACCTGTATTATTCTGGTGGGGTTTCTTTTTTATGTCTCTTGGGGGGGATTTTTTTTGGGGGGTGGCATTGTTTTCTCTTACAGCATTAAGCATTTCTTTCTTTGTTCTGTTTATTTAGTATTTAAACTATGATATGTCTTAGAGAGTTGTTTTTATAGTCTTGTCTAGTTGGGTTCCTATGTTCTTCTTTGTGTGTTGTATAGGTATGTCTTTAGTTTGGGGAAGTTTTCTTCTATGATCTTTGTTGGCAGAGTTTCTGTGTCTCAACAGCCACTTCACAAATAACCACTCAGAGACTTATTAATTATAAATGCTTAGCTGACAGCTCAGGCTTATTACTAACTAGCTTATAACTTAAATTAATTCATTTCTATTAATCTATGTGCTGCCCCGAGGCTCATGGCTTTTACCTCTCCTGTATGTACTGCTTTTTTTTTGGTCTTGTGACTCCTCTGACTCCGCCCTCCTTCTTTCCAGCTTCTCTTAGTCTGGTTTACCCACCTAACCTTATCCTGCCTCGCTGTAGACCAGTCAGCTTCTATTAAACTAATCACAGTGACAATGTAAAGGAATATTCCACAGATCTTGTTAAAGATCTGGTCTATGCCATTATCCTAGGATTCTTCTCCCTCATCTATCCCCATAATTCAATGATTTTGGTCTTCTGATGGTATCCCACATGTTTCTTTCCTTTATTTTTTTCAATTTCTTCATATTCTTTATTTGGTCTAGAGTCTCTGCTTTATCAATTTGGATCCTTCTAGTCTATCTTTTGCTCTCCCTGCATTTTCTAATTGGGATATCGAATCTTTCAATACCATCCTCATTTCAGCTTGTGTTTTCATTTCAGCTTGTGTTTTCATCAGTTTTTATCTTTTTATTGAATTCAGTTTTCAAATCCTGATTATCTTTATCATTTCATTCAACTGTGTATATGTATTTTCTTGGACCTCAATCTGTTATCTTCTTGGAGTTTAACAAAATCTTCGTGTGTGTCCTTTAAGTTCCTTGAATTATTTGATAAGGTTTATGATTTTCTCTTAAATTCCATGTTCTGGGCATTCTATTTCAAGAACATTTATGTAAGACTGGTGTGTTTGATAGGAACCATGCTGTCTTGGCTGTTTATGTTGTTTTTGTTATTATGACTTGACTTGGGCATCTGGCCTTCTCTCTTTGGTTGTATATCTGGTGTGAGAATCTGTTGTACCCTGTATTGGTGCATTGCAGCTGCTGCATGACCAGAGGTAGGCAGAGTAAAGTTGGTGGTGGGTAGACCTTTGAACCCCCTCTTCCTCGGCCATTTTTGACTGGTGAGGCACTTCCTTCCTCTCCCATGCTTTTCTCCACCTGCTGCCATCTCTATGCTCACAGGCCTACCTCCAGACCCAAAGATGGTTTGGGTCCATCTTTGCCTGGTCCAAATTCAATAGCCCACCTTCCTAGAGTAGTTTCCACAATGCAAAGGCCATACCAGTAGGTAAAAGCAAAGGAAAGAAAGCAAGGTGTGGTTCAAAGACTGACCAACTCTCCTTCTTACCAAGATTTAATAGACTTACTTAGATAAATATTTTTCTGTTTGTCATATCACCTTAGGACAATTTGTAGATGTTAAATTATGTCTTGAAATTTTTCCCAGTTGAAAGGTTGTTAATGCTGGGGAAAGGATATGCCAGATTCCTCACTCTAACTTTACTGAAATCCTGTCCTCATTTGAATTCTTTTAAAGAAACTCAAGAGTGAGGCAAACTTAGCTTGAGAGAGAGAGTAAAATTAATATTTAAAAGCAAAGGAAAAAGGCATGTACACACTCTTACTAAGCATATACTCCCTTTTCAAAGGACTGCAGGAATGTGAAACAAAACTGTAAGTGATGCATAAGTGCTGACATGAAAGTCACTGCTGTTCTTTGTGTGTTTGCAGTCATTCATATCTAGAGAAATTCCTCACTGAGCAGATGATGGAAAGGAGGGAGGATGTATGGCTTCCACTCATTTCCTATAGAAATTCATTAGTCACTGGGGGTGAAGATGATAGAATGTCTGTGAACAGTGGAAGTAGCAGCAGTAAAACTTCCTCAGTGAGGAGTAAGAAAGGAAGACCCCCACTGCACAGAAAACGAGTCGAAGGTAAGTCCTCTTTTACACTCTGAGGCAAGTTACATTGCCTGGCTTACAGAGAATAAGCAGCAGGTGATTTCTTGAAACAAGATGCTGTAAGACACATGATGTCATTAAATATTTGCTACCAACTGAAAAATTCAAGGACAAAGGTTGGATATACAGAGTAAGGCAGAAAAGAAACGTGATGAAACAGAGAACATAGAAGACACAAAAAAGGACAAAGCAGTTTTACAGACTATAAAGTTGACCTCTGTGGCTCTAATACATTACATTTTTAAAAAAGAGCAAGTATTGTATTAAAATACATCTTAAAATATGCAAACTAAAGTTTAAGAAACAAAAAATAAAATCCATCTTAAGCTGGATGTGGTAATGTATGATTGCAACCCCAGCATTTGAGAGGAGATAGAGTTCAGGGCCATTTTTCAGCTCTGTAATAAGCTTGAGGCCAGCCTGAGCTACATGAATTAGTTTCTCCCCCTCCAAACACACACACAAATTCACCTTACTAGAAGAGGGCTGTTGGTAATTTGAGTAGACCTCTGCAACAAATTAAACATACTAGATTCCCTTTACAATTCTGTCATTGCTTGAGTAATTTATTTTTATGTCACAAGACAGTGGTGGCCAAACCTGATTTATAATATACCTGCTTAGACTTTAGGGAATAGGGACTTGAATTATCATGAAAATCAATAGCCTCTGCCTTTCCTTTGCTTCTTATGAGTTTTCATAACTTCTGTTCAGTTACCAGCACCACACCCTGCTGCCTAAAGGAACAATGACTCACCAGAGGTTTGCCAAACTCCTTGGCACACTTAATTTTAATGTAAACCTAATGTGCCTTTCCTTACTGGAGAAGTGTTGACTATTAATAAAGAACAAACTTTAAAATAAACTTATATTTCAAACCCAGCTTTCTCATTTTGAACATGTTACTTAACCCTGAGTTTTAATAATGCATTGAATGAAAGATACCAGATTATCTAGAGTACTTAGTCTCTCAGTTACTATGAATAGTAAATGAGGTACTCTCAAAAAACATAGTATACACGTTACTGAGCACAGTGCTCACCTATAAATAGCATCCAGTAAATGTTAGCTATTTTCAGGATATTCCCAAGAGCTCACAATAATACTTCTTTAGTACCAGCCAGAAGACTAACATTTTTAATGTTAAAGTTTAACAAAGTCTCTACATGCTTTGAAATGTCCTTTCACATTTCAGCTTTTATACTTTTAGTTAAATATATATATATAAAATCTTGTCTTTGTATTTGAAGATTTTGAAGATCCTGGACTTTCCTCCAAAGAATGATTCTAGTTGTTTTCCTTTGAAAGTATCTTTTATGACAACCTCTATCAAGGTGCTCCATGTCTACAACATGTTTTTCCCCATTCATACTTCTCAACTATAATGGGTTTTTCGAGACAGGGTTTTGGAATTCCCTTTGTAGACCAGGCTGCCCTTGACCCACAGAGATCCACCTGCCTCTGCCTCCTAAGTGCTGAGATTGAAGGCGGGCACCACCACTACATGGCTCAATTATAATCTTATTAGGCAACATGTACTAAATTCTTTCATGTTTTTCATGCATTTTATCATTTGTAAATGTTGTATTAATCAACTTAGTACCCATATTTTATAAAGGAGGAACTAAGCCTTAGAGAATTTTAAGAATTTAAATTACTACATGTAACTCATTTATAAATAGTCAAAACTATTGTTTTTAAGATTATAGGACATATGTGTGGACTGGGTAGCCACTTTGGTAATTGTTAAATGGTAAAAGAGAGCTTAGCTATGTGGATTTGAAGGTTCAAGATAGGTTGTGAGCTGGAGCCCTTCAATGGCAGTTTCATCTGTTTGAGTTGAAGATGAAAGGCTATTCACTGTAAGAGCTGTTTTCACAGAAGAATCTTTAAAAGGTTACAACATGTATCCAAAGAAAGTAAGCTCTTGAGGTAATTAGGTCTCCACTGGGCACCTTCACAAAAACTGGACTAGTTCATTATGCATTATTTTATCAGGATGTCTTAGATATGCAAATAATGTTTGTCTGCTCCAGTCTTTACAAAGCAGCCTCAGGAGAGAAAAAAACATTTAGTTCTAAGTAAGCAGAATTGATTATATTTCCTCCGAGTTAAATGAAATTGTAATTAAATGCTGGATAGGACAGTCAGGTTCCCCAGAGGGACTTAAAGGCATGAAAACTATGAGCTTCTCTGTCTCCACACATACAACCTGGCAGGTAGAGCAGTTTCTCTGGTGCTCATTGTCTGCTTGTATTAACAGCATTTGCTGATTCCTCTGTAAAAGCCAACCAGTCCTAAGTGCTGCCACCTGGGACACCTTGTGGGCTCAGGCAGTCAGTAGAAAAGCAAAAGAAGGTTGCTGAGGGCTCTGATTAACATTCTTCTTCCCTCTAGGGCAAATAAATCCTCAGAGATAAGAAGACAAGAGACAGTATGATATTTGGTGCCTATAACGAGCTAATAACCTCATTTAATTCCTGTAGTTTCTAAGTACTAATATCCTCATTTTAGATGGGAAAATACCCATCTAAAATGTAAGAAGTCATTAAGATAATACAAAGTCAAACAAGAGAGTTGTGAAACTGGGATTTAAACTCTTTGCTCTAGCCAGGCATTGGGCATGATAGCTCATGTCTGTAATTCCAGCATATAGGAGGCTTAAGGTAGGAAGATCAGGAGTTCAAAGCCAGCCTAAGCTACATGAGACCTGTTTCATAAAGAAGATACCACAAAAACTAAACATAAGCTGGGCATGTCCCAGTACTTGGAAGTAGGTACAGGACAAAGAGGAGTTCAAGGGCCTTGTTTCATGGTGAGTTTGAAACCAGCCTGGGCTACATGAGACTAAAAAACAAAACAATAAAATAAAGTAAATAACCTAGGTAGTCTAACTAGAGTCATGCTTTTCAAATGTTATAACTGCCACCAGAGTTTGCCCCATTTCTGATATTTTGAGACTTTAAATGAAATTTTGCAGATGAAAGTCTGGATAACACATGGCTAAACAGGACTGACACTATGATTCAGACTCCTGGACCCCTGCCAACCCCACAGCTCACCTCCACTGTGCTTAGAGAGAACAGCCGCCCCATGGGAGAACAGATCCAGGAGCCTGAGTCTGAACATGGTTCTGAACCAGACTTTTTACACAAGTAAGTACCAAAAGTTCATTATCTTGTCATAAAATCTCTAACTGTTAAAGTAAAGCTAAGAAAAACTGAACACATGGTGAGATCTTGCAAAAATGAAGCCATAAATGGAGAGTGAATAGTATATCAAAGTCTGCCAACACTATTTTGGACATCTTTTCCTCAAAGTTCTGTTGTCCTTTTTTAAATGGTTGCTGCCTTTTAAGCCACAGCTGTGTGAATCAGCAACTAGCAGCTCCACGGCTCCTAGCAGCAGTCAGGCCACAAGGGCCGTAGCCGGAGGGAAATCTGTTCCTCCGGCTCCAACTCCCGCAAAGCTATGAAGGAAACTTAACTAAACCTCTCTCCCTCTAAAGAACTCAAGATTCAGAGGTTAAGGTGGAATTCTACTCTTCAGAGAGGTTGAACAGCAAGTAGCTCACCTCCTCTCCTTGCTTGAGTCCTCCAAGAAGCAAAAATGCTTCCCCTTGCCCTCCTTCTAAACCCTTTCTCACCTGGCTCCTCCCTACCACTTCCTGTCAGCCTGTTGCTGACTCAGCCTCCTGACCGTAGGTGAATTTTATTTAATCAAACACATTTTTGCATCATTAAACAAACATTCCAGAGTATAAACAAAAGTAACACATTTTGAAATAATATTCTACAACAAAGTTCAGACTTTTCTTGATCTAGTGGGACAAGCTTCATGTTGTTTAAATAGCCTCCATTTTTTTATCTTTCAAGATTCAATGATAATTTCCCCACCTACAATTCCAAAACTCCAGTAATGTGTTAGAGTAAATGAATTTTTAAACCTAGGAGAGCTTTGGAAAAAACTTAAATATTAAATAAATATCAGTTAATGTTAATACTAAATAACATTTTGCGTGTATATGCTAGAAACAATACCACCTCCTCTCCCTGTCCCATATGTTGCTACTAAAAGTATCTTTTTGCCCTTAGTTCTTTAATAATTATATTTTTCCTCAAATAAAAGGTTCATAGACCTTTGAATGAACAGTGGCTCACTGAGTGCACTCATTTTGTATCTGTATTGGGTACATCTGTTTGTTTACTGCCTGTTATCTCCTTGACAGGAACCTGTGAGAGCTTACTTAGGCTGGCTGTAACGAAGCCTCAAATAGATTGTACCACCTTCAGCATCTATTTGATGATTTAAATTTAAAGCTAGTCATGGTGGCACACACTTGTAATTCTGGTATGTGGTAGGTAGAGGCAGGAGCTCAGAGCTAACTTTAGTACACAGTGAGTTTGAAACCAGTTTGGGCTATATGGAAACTTCTAGTGTTGTTTCTGCTCCCAACTTAAAAACTTTCTTTGTTCTTTACTTGTATTTCTGTATATATGAATACAGATTTGAATTGCACTGATGGATATGAGAAAATTCCTATCTGAACAAATTAATATGTTAAAAATAGACAATTTTAGAAGTATTTTAGACCCTGGGTTTTCAAAGGTCAACTTTATACCAAAGAATCTTTCTTTCCAACCTCAAAGGATAGTCTCTCTCAGGCATTGAATAGATGGGACTATTTGTACTGTTGGGCATCAAAGGTTCTTCCTTCAGGATGAGCTCTCCTTTCTTAATCAACCTGCCTTGCTCTCCTGATGTTACCGGTTATCAGTCCCATTAGCCATGGGTTGTCTTCTGTTCCCTGCCCTGTGTTCCTAGGTCTTATCACAGTGGTGACCCCCAAAGGATAAAAAAACAGCTACTTAGAATTTCATGTGGCAAGTTTTTATCTATAGAGCCACTAAAATTTACCATCTATAAAATGGGGGGAGGTGGGTAAATACCATTTCTCATGCTCTTTTAAGTATAGAATACAGGTGAAGATTTCACTCCATAGCATTAAGAAACTATGTGTCATGAAGACTTCTAAGTACTAGGAAAAGATGTGTTATATCCTTTTCTTAATGCTGTGGGTGTTCCTTAGGGGCTTGCTGCCTAGCTATGTAGACAAGTGAATGATACAGTAGCTTGAAACACAAGTCTGGGAATGCCCTTATTTAGCAGAGATTCGGGGCATGAAGCTAATACATAGCATAAGGATTAATAGCACCCCAGCCTGTTTCTTGCGGACACTTAGATATTTGGAAGCACTTGACTTGTTATTTGCAAAGCAATGGAATAAATCTAAGTCCCTTACATGAAGATTTAGCCAGCCAACCATACTTAATTAGTATGAAGCTAATTCCCTGTGTACACTATCTGTTACACAAAATGAATAATAGTATTCTCTCAGTCCCCAGATGCAGATCTCTTGGTTAGGCCAGCCGAAGTTAGAAGACTTGAATCGGAAGGACAGAACAGGAATGAACTACATGAAAGTGAGAGCTGGAGTAAGGCACGCTGTGTAAGTGTCAACTTGAGCATCACGAGGACATAGCCGCTGCACGGTGCTGGTCATTTGGGTGTCTCTGCTTGTTAGTAGTTCAGATGAGTTCTGGATACGTGTCCTACAGCACAGGGTGACAGTAGAGGGCATGGGCACTTGAAGCTTTCTGCACTCAAGTCCTAGTGCTGCCACTCTCCAGATTTACACACAGCTACTCTAAAACACCTGTCTCCTGGGGTCCTTACTGGTAAAATTGAGATGTGATTGAACAGAACCTGGAGGGAATTGATACACAGCTTAGATACTTCATTATTATATTTAAATATTTTCTTATTAAAGTTAACTCTACTTTCTGTTTCATTGAAGTGAAAATTTGAACCAAAGAAATAATTCTTTTGTTGGGAATAACCCTAATTTTCTTTGAGTTAGTATCATAGTATAGTCTATAGTTCATAATTAGAAAGTGTGCGATCTAAGAAAGAGTCAGGACTCCATGCTGGACAGTCTCAACAGCTTGCTGACCACCTCTTTTTTCACCAGTCGGGGTCTAATGGAGGAAGACGCTGAGCCCATCTTTGAAGATGTGATGATGTCATCACGGAGCCAGTTAGAAGACATGAATGAAGAATTTGAAGACACCATGGTTATTGATTTGGTAAGGAATTTACTGGGATTTTTTTGTTTGTTTGTTTTTGTTTTTTTCTTTTACAGTATTTAAGAGCATTGGAGTTTAAAATGATATTCTTGCTGTGGGAGCGGGCCTAGGTGAGGAGTAAGCACCATTACTGGGCATCAAGATGAGCTTTTGTGGTTCTCAGGGCTGCTTTTAAGCAATCATTTTGGGTCCTAGCCAAAAAAGAAAAAAGCTAGGTTTTTTTCTTCTTCCAAAAAAATGTTTTGGCACAGCATGTATATTTGGCATTTTGTACTTTAAATTGGAACCTTACAATATATTCTGTGTTCCAACATGTGACAATCAAATATAGAATGTGGAACTTGTATATACAGTTTACAGAGAACATCTTTGAGGTAAGATTAATATAGACTAACTAAAAGCAATACAATGACAGTTTTTCATGTATGGTTTTTAACAGTTTCATTACATGGCCCAGCATGTTGGTACACACCTGTGACACCCAGTAAGGGATGAGAGTTTGAGACAAGAGGATTATAAGTCCAAGGCCAGCCTGAGCTACATACTGAGAGCCTGTATCAAAATAGAAAGCACTGGGCCAGTGGTCAGTGCTGTATGTGTATAGCATGCCCAAGGGCCCCAGGTTTAATCTTTAATACCAAAAATGAGTAAAAAAAAAAAAAAAAAAAAAAATTGTCATTGGCTATAGGTAATATTAAAATGTAGTTATAGCTGAAATGACATGAAGGAAAAAGAGCTAATAGATTCGGTAAAATAAGACTAACTAGATACTTGACAATTGTTAACCCTAGGTGACTGGTCGATTAATGTTAATGTTCGTTATACTGTTTTCCCAGTGTTGGCTACATCTGCCATAACAAATACCAGTCTTGAGTGACTTAAATTGCCAGAAGTCAAGTGAAGCAGAGTTGATTTTGAGTACTCTTCGGCTTTAGGTGGCTGGCTTCTTCCAGTGTCTTTATGGGCTGGCAAGATGGCTCAGCCCATAAAGCTGCTTCCTGCTAAGCTTGATCCCCAAGACTTCTACCCCAAGGTAGAAAGAGAAAAGGACTCCCGACTGTCTTTCATGGTCTTTCCTGAAAGGACACCAAGTCATTTGACTCGAAGCCCTCACTTGTCTTGCTGCAGTTTTTTACTACATTAAACCCTTTAAAAAGACCTTGTATCTAAATAGACTCCCATTCTCAAGTTCTAGGAGTGAGCACTTCAACATGTAAATCAAAGATGGCATAATGCAGCACATACTAGTCTGCCTTACATGTTTTGAATTTTCCATCATAAAAAGTTTTGGTATAACCTTTGATAGAACTTTCCTGCCCTACTCCCTCCCCAAAAGCATTCATTCCATCTACCTGCTTTGGAGAATTCACTGATATTCATCATTTTTGTTATTACTCTGTGTCTTCAAAGGGAAGGTATTTTCTATATTATAAGTCCAAATTACATTTTTTACATACACAGTTTATTCATTAAAATTTTAAGTCTTGGGGCTGGTGAGATGGCTAAGTAAGAGGCATTGTTTCTCACCTTCCAGAGGACCTGTGTTCAGTTCCCGTAACCCAAATTGGAGGACTAATACCTGCCAGTGATTATAGTACGAAAAGATCTGACAACCTCTTATAGCTTCCTGGGCACAAACGCACACAGAGATACAAAGTTTAAAAAAGAAGAAGCCAAGAGTAGTGGCATATACCTTTAATCTCAGCACTTGATAGGAAGAGGCAGGAAGAGCTCTGTTAATATGAAGCCAGCTTAGTCTACACAGCAAATTTCAGGCTAGCCAGGGCCACAAACAAAAAACATATTAGTTGAAAGTCTTTTTCTCTTTTAATAATTCAAATACTGCTGCATTTTTAAAATCTATACTTTCTATACAAGCCAGATTCTCATTCTCCGTTTAAATTTGACTCTTAATTATTCCTATGTTTATGTACTGTAAAAAAAAAAAAATAGCTTTTATTACAGTTTATTTCACCGGAAAAATAAATGATTCTCTTTTCAGCCCCCATCAAGAAATCGTCGAGAAAGAGCTGAGCTGAGGCCAGACTTCTTTGATTCTGCAGCTATCATAGAAGATGATTCAGTAAATATCAAATCATTACTGTGTTTTATGTGTTCCTTGGCCCTGGGGATACATAATATAATTGTATTTCTCATTTTTTTTCTAGGGATTTGGAATGCCGATGTTCTGAAGTCTGAAGAAAATTTACAAATCTGGAACTCTATTATTTAGAGCTAGAGGCCTATATACTGTGATAGCTTGTATGGGGGAAGAAACACTTTTGATGTGACCTGATTTGTTTTGTAATCAAATGATTAAAGGTTGGTCCCCTTTGCAGTGACAGAGCAGCATGTCAGTTACCCACAGAAATGTTGGTAATGTCACCTCGGAAAGACTGACCAAAAAAATCATTTGTACTCTAATGTTGGACTTATCTCAGTACAGATGTGTGTGTGTTTTTCTGAAAGGAGGAAGATATTTTAAATTTTTAAAACAGCTGTCAAAATAAACACTGTTATACACCTGTTTTATGAAAATTCAGCATTGAGTAAAAAAATATTTTTAACTTTATTTTCCTGTTGTACAATTTAAAAACCGTTTTAACATTTTGCCTTTTTATGTTTTAAAAGCTAACCATTTTTATTAAATATGAGTAAGCAGCTCGTTCTAATCGCCGAAGAGTGTTTTTGGAGCTCACTGGATTTGGTTGACCTTACAAAACAGAAACATTGAAGGAACAGAGCATGGACAAGCTAAAATAGAGTTCTAACATCGTGCGTCTCTGCCAAAAACCACACACCCTCTGTGGATGGATGTGAATTCCCAGATTTTATATACTCTTGAATAAAAAGGTTTATTTTTATTTATAAGTGGGCATAAAATAAATGTCCATGCAGCCATTTTTCCAACAGATGCTGTACACCGTTCATTTTATATAGAATAGGGAGATTCAAATACAGTGCATTTTCTATTGGTCTTTGTTCTGTGCATTTTTAGCAACTTCTACCAGCAAATAAAGTATTCTCAGTAAAACAAAAATGGTTCTCAAGTCATCGGTCTTGCTGTTTCTAACCACTTGTTTTCATGCCCTGCCAAAGTCAAGTTACACAGACTTCCATTTTCCTGAAGTTTCTTTGCCATTCAAAAGTAATTTTAAGACATGTAACTGTCTTTTTCCCATGCACTTAATATACCCCAAACCTGCTAACTTTGTGAATTTGTTTACCAATCATAGAAGTATGTGCTGCATAGAAGTCTGTGCTTAGAGGGTGACGTTCCTAAGCTTACCTTGAAATACAGCTACATTTCAGTGTTAAGTGTGCATATTAAGAAAAAGTCTTTGGGAGAAAGAAATTCTGACTCTTCAGGACATTCTTCAGTGGTTTAGAGTTACAATCTGCTTACTTTTATGACTTGCTGTTGTTTTTAAAAGCCCACTTAACTTTTTCCTGATTTGAATGTAGGCCTTCAAATTTCCAAACCAGTCCATCTACAGCTGTTTCTGGGATGGTTTTTAAAATAGCTACAACAGAATCTAGAGGCTTTCCCTTTTTACCAAAAATGAAGAGCATTTTTTAAAAGTATGCGAACTCTATGATTATCTTTTGTGGGGGAAAGCAAAACATGATTTTACTCATCCTTTTAGTAGACAAGATTTTTCTCAACATTTGTACAGTTTGGAGGGAAAAAAAACAACTTGGTTACCAAAATTGTTTTCCCTACTAACTCAGCAAGTCCTAGGCTCCAGTTGAGAGATCTGGGGCCTTGCTCTCTCCTAGAAATGTGGGCTCACTGGAACTCAAGGGGCAGGAATGAATGGACTGTCCACCTCAGCCCTGTCTGACTATGGTTCTGGCCAGGGACCTATCTTTGAGGGGCCCTGGAATAAGCACAGAGTAATCCTTTGCTTGACGTCTCCTGTGAACAACACATGCTGACTTAGAGTTACAGACTACCATGCAACAACCAAGAAGGCTTAATCTCTACTCCAATGGGTTTCCAAGTTCAGTTTGAAGTCAATCAAATTTTTGTATTTTCAGTGTCTCCTTGATTTTGCTAGTAATTCTGTAAATTGTACATTTGCAATATGAAGTTTTTTTTTCCTTTTGTACAATTTGAAACTGATGCTTCACCTTTCCTTTAATAAACTATTCAAAATCAGGCTTGTAGTAGTCCTCCTGTTGTTGCTCCTGGGCGAGGTTTAAAAAGACTGTTTCCTTGCCTGCTGCCCTTGAGAGTTTGTTCTTTCAGATAATTTGTCACTTGATAGCAAGACAGTTGTTTCAGTGTTTTTGGTAGGTTTTGTTTTGAGACAGTGTCTTACCTCAGACCAGGCTGGTCTCAAATACACAGATCTGCATGCCTCTGCCTCCCAAGTGCTGGGAGTAAACATTTACCACCATGCCTGGCTAAGATGTTTTGTTTTTTAAGAAAAAAAAAATTAAGAACTGATCACAAGTTTTTAATTGCTCAGATTTCCCTATAAAGAACGATGAGGCTAAGTCCTCTTTCCTCCTAAGATTCTGTGTGGTTGCTCCTAGCAGTAGCTCTTTGGCAATTTGCAAGACTCTGCATTCCCACAGAAGTGAAAGTTTCTTTTACCATTGGTGCCAGACCTCACTCTGAAGCAAAGTCACAACCTACACTATTTATGGCTTGGCCATGTCCTTTGTTCGGAGATCATTAAATAGCCAAAATTGACAATGTAGAAAAGGTAAGGACATGGGACATAGACCAATCAACTGGACAAGCAAGAAGGGAATCTAAGTTTAGACAGTTTCCCCTACTGTAATTTTCATCTGGGACACACAGGCTTATTATAAATCTGAGCTGTGACCTGAGTAATTTGCCACTCTTTGTTTTGGCACCCAGGTAAGAGTCCATCATTAAGGCAACAGTATATGTATCATTGTATGGACTGTCAGACTCATCACTGAAGCTGGGTCTAAAACTGAAGATCCATGGAACACAAGACAGAGGTGAAAAGCATAAATAATATTCAGTGAAACTATAGCAAAAAATTTTCTGGATCTAACGTGTCTTGAAGCACAAGCAGCATTTAGAACCCCAAGTAAACATGATGCAGAAGAATATTTCCACAACATAAAATTAAAATGTCATGTCTACAAAAGAAACAATATCTAACCAGCAAGAAAAAATGCAAATTTGCTTGCAAAGGCAAACCCATCAAAAGAACATTAGATCTCAACAGAAATCCTAAAAAACGAAGAAAGCATGGACTGATACATTCCAAAACTTGAAAGTAGTTGTCAATCAAGATTTCTATATCCAGTCATAATCTCATAAGATTGGTGAAGAAATAGACATTTCAAGACAAGCACAAACTAAAGCAATTCATGACCACTAAGCCAACAATGCAGAAGATATCTAAATCCTACACAGGAGGGAAAAAAACACAGCAAGGAATGAATTTCATAAGACTGATGAAAAAAGGAGAACTGAAAAATAATGTCTAGGGAGTTGACATACTTTAGCAGTTAAGAATGGTTACTGTTCTTTGCAGAGGACCGGCCTTTGTTTCCTTACAGGGTCCTTCAGGTTCCGGCCCCTTTAGGGACCAGAAAAGATGCTACAGCAAGTGAGGGAAACATAAGAATCTGAGAGCTAACAAGTCAACTCACACCAATTCTCTTTTCTAATACTCCTGCTGCTTCTCTAGCCTAAAACTTTTTAGGAGACTTGAAGCAATAATAAAAATTACATGAGTTACCTCTTTGGCCAAAAGCACATTCCTAGGGTAATCGATAAGGACAGAGCCATTTACCAAGGCAATACAAGGTTCCAAGGTCACAGGACCAGAGGGAGGGGCCCAGTGCCCAGTGCCACAAACTCTAGATGTGGCTCTTTACCAGCAGACTTGGCAAGCAAAGAACTGGCATGTTTTTCTTAGGGTGTCTTATGTGGATAACCTTGTTTGGATACCTTCAACTCTGGCCTTGGGCATAATTGTAAAGTTTTAAATTTATAATCTATATATGAAAGCCTTTAGTTTGAACTTGCTCTGAAGTAAAAATGAGCTAATTGTGTGCAGTTAGTCTAAGCAAAAGGAGCAAGGCAGGCTTTTTTAAGAGTCTTCAGTCCTCATGGTTATGAAGCATAGAAGCATATCCTAGTATATTTTCTTTTTCTCTTTCTTTTTTTTTTTTTTTTTGTTGTTGTTTTTTTGTTGTTTTTCAAGACAGGGTTTCTCTGTGTAGTTTTGGTGCCTTTCCTGGATCTCACTCTGTAGACCAGGCTGGCCTCAAACTCACAAAGATCCGCCTGGCTCTGCCTCCCAAGTGCTGGGATTAAAGGTGTGCACCACCACCGCCCGGCTATTTTCTATATATCAATGTTATACAGCTAAATGAGAAGTGTAACATGAATTGCTAAACAGTCTTATTAATAGAAAACCCAGAGCCAGATATGGGGGGTGAAAGCTGAAAGATCAAAGAAACAAAACAAACGAGCCATGTTCTTAACCTCTACAAAATTCTCAGCCTCGAGAGACTTAATGTTTACTCACACCTTATATACTTTTCTGTGCCCTGCCATCTCACTTACTTTTTAGTGCTGGGATTAAAGGCATGTGCCACCATGTCTGGCTCTGTTCCCGGTTTGGCCTTGAACTCACAGAGACCCAGATGGATCTCTGCCTTCCAAGTGATAGGATTAAAGGCATGTGCCACCACTGCCTGACCTCTATGTCTAATTTAATAGCTGGCTTTGTCCTCTGATCCCAGATAAATTTTATTGAGGTACACAATATATAACCACAGAGAAGTCATCTTTCTGACTGTCTACAGATATGTGTGTCCAATAGATAGAATATATACATGAGATAAACATACAAGCAGTGGGAAAACACCCATAGCTGTTCTTAAGGAAGAAATGAAATGGCATATGAGAGAAAGTACAGACAGAAGCATGTTGGCCATTAACAGTAACTCCATGGTCTTTCCAGATGGGGCTCCCCATCGAGGAGTCTGGTGGGATGACCTGCTGAACACTAGTTGTCACTTGCTGTATACTCCCACAGCCTCTTGTTACCAGCAACTCTCAATAATTTCCTAGCACCCATGTTTGGTGGCCCACTACCAACTACAACTCTAAGTCTAGGAAATCTAACACACTTCTGGCTTCATGTGTGTGCACACAAACACCCCTTAAAATAACCCTCATGCAAATTCAAACACCAGCAAACCCCTAGTATGAAGAGAGAAAGCAACAAAGATTCCAACCATTGAGGAAAACAACAAATCTCTTTCAGTAGCTTTAAATGGAAATTTTCTTAGCCCCTTGTCTTGGTTAAAGTCACTTGGGAAGAAACTCAATTGAGAAAGTGCCTCAATGAGATTTGTCTGTAGGCAAGTCTGTAGGGTATTTTTGTCATTAGTGATTGATGTGAGAGGACCCAGTTTATTGTGAAAAGTGCCATCCCTGGTATCTTACAGTCCTGAGTACTATAAGAATGAATGCAGGCTGAACAAGCCATGGGGAGTAAGCCAGTAAGCACAGCTCCTGTCATTGCTTCCTTCAGTGATAGACTTATAAACTATAAGGTAAAATATACCTTTTCCTTCACAAGCTGCTCTTAGTCATGGTGTTTTAACCGCTAAGACATTGGGGAAAAAAAGATGATTTAAATGTAAGATGAACATGTACAAGTAGGTTGTCTACCAAAAAAAAAAAAAAAAAAAAAAAAAAAAAAAAAAAAAAAAAAAAAAAAAAACAAAGACACAGACTGAAATCGAAAGAATGAAAGTCAATGTCAAACAAATGGAAATTGAAAACAAGCTGGAGTAGTTATACTTTTATCTGATAAAGAAGACTTTAAGCCAAACTAGAAAAAAAATAAAGGTAAAAAATAAAAAAAATATATTCTAATATCTATCAAGATCTAACAATTGCAATATACACTCACTGAATGTTTATGCACCCATTTTCATAGATACTGCTGAACAAACAGATGGCTATAAAAGAGTGATATTAGATTAATGAATAGATGTAGGAAAGAAAGAAACCAGAGTTAAATTGGATCTTAATGTACTTAACATCTACATAATATCCCATCCAGAAATTACCAAATACAAAAAAGTAAAATAATTTATTAGATCATGGTGGAATAAAAATAGAAATCAGCAGTAGTGACTATAGAAATACATAGAGATTAAACTGTGTACTTGCATGATCAGTGTATCTTTGAAAAAAATCATTGAAGGAATTTTACAACTATAAGAAAATGGAAATACAGTCTAACAGAAACATTTGAATAAAGGTATTTCTTTGGGAGGAAAAAAAATCCATTGTGTTGTTTTTGTTTCAGGTGTGTGTACTATGTAGCATGCCTGTGGAACCCAGGTAATAATGTGAGAGTCTCCTTTCACCAAGTGATCTAAATCAAGTTGTCAGACTTAGCATAAAGCACCTTACCCACTAACCCATCTTGCTGGCCCCAACAATAGCATTTCTAAGAAGAAAGTTTAGAGCTATGACTATTTACATTTTTTTAAAAACATCAGAATTCAAACCAGGCCTGGTAATTCATTCCAGCAAGTTAGGACCCTGCTGTAGGAGGATCATAAATGCAAGGTAATCCTGGCCAACTTAATGAGGCTGCCTGAAAATAAAACTTCAGAGCTGAGGATAGCCCAGGTGTTGTAAAATGACATGTGAGAGGCCTTGGCAGGTGGAGCCAAGGGGCACTGCAGGTTGGGGAGACATGCTATGCAGATGTATTAGGCAGCAGCATGGCATGGTGGAAAGTTACACCATACAGACACAGCATCCACATGCAAAGTTTTATTGGGGCAAAGGGAAGGGAGGATAGGGAAGAAGAGAATGAGAACAAGAAAGAAAGGAAGAGAGGAAGTGCGCACTACCTCATAGCAAGAGAGAGGAAGGAAGAAGAGAGAGGGTTTTTTTTCTTAAAGGGGACTTTACATAAGATGATGTCAGGACGCTGGGCAGGTCCCCAAGGGGCAGGTCTGAATGCCAACATTCCTCCATTTTTCATTATTATAAAAAGGTAAGTTTTGAATAGCAAGTGGAGAGGGGAAGAGGGTACTGAATTCTCGAGACTGCTTCCTGATGATTTGGGGGCAAAGTGGTGAGGGGGAAGTTGGGAAACACACACACAATGGGAGGTATGAGTGAAGAAGC